TGAAAAAAAGATGGATCAAAGCTACTTTATTACATGCAGGGAGAGTCATCTCTCGTTATGGACTTCCTCTGAGGCTTTTTTCATCCCACTGGTTGATAGAGTTGCTTATGTGGCCTTTGCCTCATTTTCTCACTGTTTATGAAAGAAAGAGAAAATGAAATGCTCCTCCAACAATGAAGCCATTAGTCTGGCCACATACCATCCCTTGCAACCAATTCTTGCACCCCAGCAGAAGCAGCACCACCCCAGCCATACAGGAGCTATTTGTAGGCAGAGTAGGACGCTGCAGTTGACCCCCACGAAAGAAGAACAAGTATTTTGACTTGTTGTTTTTTTCTGTAATGGTGCCATTTATCACTATGACACACATTCATTGACTTAGTCTGGCTTTTTTCAGTGTGGGATTTATACCTCTTTTCTGTTTTGAATATTGATGCTGCACTTCCTTACGTGACTGCACTGCCAAATGGTGTCTAGACACTCGAGCAGCTCTGACTAATTAGTGTAGTCACCTCAGTCTCTCAGCTCTGGCATTTACCTACTCTTTGTGTTACTGCTATAAATAGGTGCCTAAACACAAGCAGCAGAGCAAGGAGAGGTGGCAGTGAGCATGTCCAGACCTCACCTGCCATCCCTGAGGTGTGGCACAGGAGTGCTTCGCTCTCTGCATCCTTAACAGGGCAAGTGCTTGTAACCACTCACTTGGACATCACAGCCTGCATGTGGGCAGCCAGCAGGAGACCTGAGCTCAGTGTCTTGCTTGGTGTGAGCATCACCAGTGCCAAGGCAAGGCTGAGAGAGGTTTCTGTCCTCAGGGCTCAGCCCTTTTGTACCAACAGTACAGTCAGAGAGGAAAAAAGAAGATAAATCAACACCTGCCATCCCAGTGAGGTGGGTGCTTGTTGAGGAGGAATCTGGTTCAGAGTGTTGCTTTCACTTGCACCAGATCCAAACTAAAAATTGTAAAAATTTTCTGCAACTTCACAGTTCTTATCAGAACTTTTAAATATTGCACCAGTGCTGTAGATGCAATAGCTAAAGCTGAATTGACCAACCTTAAAGAGGAAGAACTGATAAATATCAAAGATAACTTCAGGTCATCAAAGAACTTTTACAGAACCATGAGAACAAAAGGTAGTGAAAGCCTAATCAATGTTGCCTATGCAACGGGTTGTGCTAATGTAAAATTAAATTGCTTCAAAAATTATATGCAGATTCAATACAATACACCTATTAAAAAAGCTTATTTGTAAGCAAATGTGAAAGTTTTGAATTATCCAAGTGAGTATTTGAAGAGCCACTATCATAAGGAGAGCAAATTAACTTTGCTTCCTTTGTATTTTTAACTGTTACAAATTATTTTACTGGTACTAATACAAAGCATTAGAGAATAGCAGGTTTGGGATTTTTTCCTCTTCTTTTCAGAAAGGCTGTTTGTTGTTTGAGCAGATTTTCTTTGAATTTGCTGATGGGATTATTCCTATCTTCCAGCTAGTGGTATACAAAATATTTAAAGTAAGCTTTCCAGAACATCTGCAGGTTTTCCAGGGTTAAGATAAGACTAATTTAATTTGTGGGGGTTTTGCCCTACAAAGAGATAATTTTTTTGTTGTTTTTATTTTTTCCTCTTCGTGGAAGAAAGATTTCTGAGCAGTACCCCTTATTTATGCAAGGAAAAGGGAACACATCACAAATGTGGCTGTGCACAGTGAGGATTTTGTGACAGAAAAAGAAATTAATAGTTCCTTTTAGATGTGGTCCTGCTACATGTTATGAACAATGTAAAACTGTCTCTCTCCAGCAGTGAGATGCATCTGTGTACACTGCGCATGTAAAACTGTGCACACTTGAAGGTACATGTGGCAAATTCTGTTTGTTCTCTGGGTAACAAAACTGCTCAGTCACGGGTTAGAAACCCTCAAGTTGCCACCTACAGGTTTTGCCTCCTGCTGAAAGAGCACTAATTCAATACAGCGCATATTTTTTGATAGGACTGCTATTGCTATTATCAGATTGCTCTGATTCTGCATCCCTAAAAGGTTTGTCTCTTTTACCCAAACAGTTCTTAATATTCATGTGCAATCCTTTAGGATTAATGGTTCTCATTAGGCTAATTTGTCTCTCTCTCTAGATAAATAGCAGTACCGCTGTTTTGGTGTTCACTGATGAGCACACTTTCATCACTGCCAGTCTGTTGGAAATGTTTGGGGGTAGATCTTCAGTGAGTGTTAATCAGCAGATCTTCCCTGGAAGTACTGGGGTATTATATGGCAGATAGAGGTCTCTGCTTTTTTTTTTTTTTTTTTGGCCTTAACTTCATCTCCGGTGCAGATGAATCCACATAAGTATCAGGTGTAGTTAACAGCTCAGGAGGGGTGAGAGCTTGGGTTGTGTGAAGTTTGGATGACTGGCTAGGGAAGGGTTGTGTGATAATGTCCAGTAATGCTCAGACCAGAGCTATCTGAACTGCATTTGACTTATGAAAACTTAAATGTGCAATGTTGTCACATCATTACTTTTTATGACCACAAAAATTCTTCAGAAATTCACGTGGAAATCAAGGTGTATGCAAAAGAGATCAGCAGAGCTATCTTTAGCCTCCTTTAGGGTATGCAACAAATCAGTTCTTTAAGCAGGCTGAGTAGTAAATGACTGGGTTTATTCCATGGTTGTCAGTTCTTAGAAACATTTAGAGAAGAGGAAGGTATTTAATGATCTCTGGACCAGTGCACCTAATAACCTAAGGGAGAGCTGGACATTCAAGAAGGATGAAATGATTGCAAGAAGTGTTTTCAGGATTATCAAGATGCTGATTGTATAATCCATTGCCGAAAATATTTATTTGTGGTCACATAAATAATGAAATTTAGATCTGAGGAGCTACTTTGTTTTAGAAATACAAGCATACTGTATATGCAGAAGGCTTGCCCTTTCTACCATGGCAGAGGTTTTTCATACTAGATAGATGTAATAGGCTCTATTCTGTTCTAGCCTGACTTCATCCAGGTATTAGTAGAATTAGAAAAATCCTTGGAAACTGTCAACTCTCTTTGTTCCCAATTGATCCAAAAGCTGGATTCAAGCCACTGTCTTAATTACAGACTGGGAGAGGAATCACTGCAGTGACAGAGGGTTTCCGTTCCCAGATTTTCTTCATGGTGCTGCCATTTATCTCTTTCCATACCCTGAGACCCAGTTCCTCTCAGCCTGTCTCCTGGCAGGTGCAGTATCTGTTCACCAGCTAAGTAGGGATTTTATGTAAATTTTGAAAGATAGCTATACATACATACATACATATATACACACATATATGTGTATGTATATGTATGTATGTATGAACGTTTGCTAGAGAGGTTGACTTTTTAAAGTTAATAAAGGCAACTGGGTACAGATGTCGATCTCAAGGTTAAGTGGTTAAATAAGGCAAGCGGAGTGAAAAGCTTAGGGTTGACTGTGGCTTGAAGGCAGCAATGGATTTGCTGGTGTCAGTAGAGTTAGCGAGAGATGGAACTAAAATAAGGCCATGAGAACAGCTCTCATAAAGTCAGGTATAGGTTGCATGGAGTTTATTTATAGGATGCTTTCTCAAACTAAGCCTCTGAACCTTTTGATGTTTGCCCATCGTTACTTTCAGGCCAATTAATGGTGTGTATCCAGTCCCATTCTGGGGTAGGTAAAACAATAAAGCAAACAAAGATAATTAGTCTCTGGAGCATGTAAACAAATAAAGTAAATCACTTGCAAATCACTTGTTTCTGCTAACTTTTGTGGGGTGGTTGCAAAACTGAAAAAGAGCTTTTATATTGCAAATCTGCATGATGCTGGAGCAGTAATGAAAATTCATAGATTATACTATTCTGATTTTGAGAGAGTTTTGCAAAGATTAAGCATCTTATCCTGAGATATTACAGGGGTTGTCAGATGCAAAAGAACATTTTTATACCTATTTCACAGAAGAGAAGATTGAAGTAGGGAGGTGATTTTTTTTCATAGATGAAGAAGAAAATAACACTTTGTAAATAAACAAATGTCACTACTCCAAGATTATAAGGCTAAGATGGGCAGGGGAGTGACTGTAGGATGTGTGACCTTGACCCACCTCATCAATGCCTTGCAAATTTTACAGACCTGAATGGGAGCATTATGTGGCCTTTAAACCACAAATAACCAGAAGAGATCCTGTTAGCCCTTTTAATTTCAACATGGGGGTGATCAGTTGATCACAATACAGCTTCACTCCTGGCCTTAAAGCACCTCCCGCATGGAATCAGTGCTCTCCCCTCCTTGGCCATGGGCTGGCTGAGGTGAGTGAAGATAAAGTGGCCACTCAGCAGAAGAACTCGATGCAGAGCACACTTTCCTTTCATCTCAGCCCTGGAGTCAGTACTCTGGAGTTTGGATAAATGCAGGTTTTACAAGAACAAATAGGTCTCTGTGGCTCTGGGGGTGAGGAGGCTGTGCCAGCTGCTCCTGCCTGCTGCCCCAGCTGCTGCTGCAGGCCAGGCCAGAGCAGGGTGAGCCCACTCTGGAAATGTGGGAAACCACCAAAGCAGCTCCTGCTTCCAGTCTTGCAGTGAGAGTCTTGCTCTGTAAGCACAAACATACAGCTTTGTGTAATCATTAAAACAGCAGAAACTGTGCTCTGGATAAAAGACTCTAGTTAGAGTTCAGATCCAGGCAAAACGACTCCTCATATGATAAAATCAGTCTTTGTCTTTTTTTCTTGGCATGAAAATGCAGAACATTTCTTTTAGTAAAGGGCAGGCATTTCCCTGTTGTTCTGTTCCTTTTTTACTGTTTTGTTACACTTTTCTGTTCTGGCTTCAAAAATAGATTCTGGAAAGAGATGTGTCTTAGAAAGAGACTCTCAATAGCTGAAACGTGTCCATTATGCATTTAAGTTAAAAAATATTAAGCCTTGTCCAAAAACAGAGAGTGTAAAAGGTAAGAATGCCTTCAGGCTTGACTTTTAAAGAGATGCATTTTTCTTCCTGTTGCAGATCTCGCCTTGCAGATTTCTTCACAAACTGCCAGCCTGAGTCACGCTCTGTTAGTGGCTGTCTGAAGGAGAACTATGCTGACTGCCTGCTCGCTTACTCGGGGCTCATTGGTGAGAGGGCAGGGAAGGGTGGGGGCTTGCTCATGAGAAAAAAGCCCAAACTGCATTTGGAAGGCCTGTGTGAAATAAAAGCTGGAATATAATGCGGTATGATATGATACTAGGCCAGTTTCTCCACCTACATGGAGTGGCCCTGCTTTGCTTTACAGAGGTTCTTGGGGTAAGCTTGTACATGACAAGAAAATTAAGGATGGAAGGTAAGGAGAGAAAGGTGCTTGAATTTGAAATAAATGCAAGTTTAAAAGTAAAGCTTATTTAGAGGGTTGAATGTAGACAGGAGTGAGGAGTAGGAAGTTAACAAGTGGAAGTGCAGCTTGGCTGATATTGCAGCTGTCATCACAGGTTTGGGTAAACACCTTCAGAGAATGGTACCTGGATCTGAGGCATGAAACAATAGATCAATCCAGCCTTTTATCAATTCCAGCTGCTGTTCTTTCCGTGATATCCTTCTGTCCACTCCAGGTGTTTTCAGAGATTCCTGTCAGTGAGATGAGCTGAGACCAAATCTGAAATCCTCTTCCCTCCCCAGTGTAGTTATTTTTGTTTGTTGTCACCTTCCTGAGTGTCAACAGGCACAAGGATACCTTTTTTGAAGCCAGATTCCACATGCCACCCTCAGTGTTTGATTCCTGCAAGAGAGAGATCATGTCAAGAAGCTGAATGTGTTGTAGAAATATCATAGTTGGGCAATAAATAATAAGCGAATGTCAAAACTCTGAAACAAATAAATTTGAAAGGCCACCAGATAAAATGTTTTTAAGCTTACAGCCTGCACCTGCTGCAGTGCAGTAATATCCCCTTCTGTTGGGCATGAAGGTGCCAGCTGAGACCCTGAAGCTGATCCTGCTCTTAAATAAATGTCTCTAGAGATAAGATCGAAATGAAAATATTTCTAGAATAGCTTGGGTTTGCTGGAAAATGACTGAAAGCTATCCTCAGTGGCTTATTGTTACCACTCTTATTACTCTAGCAGCTAACAAGTGAGGTAAGTCCATGTGGCAATGGGTAAAATGAGATGTGATGGCTTCAAAGGATATTCTTCTACCACTGAAGAGATTAAGACAGTATGCAAAGGCTATAACATCTGAGCAGTTATGACAGACTGTCATTTGACTCTCAAACAGAGAATTGAACAGCCTTGAAATCTGATCTTGTCAATGAGATTAAGAAGTCTGGCTGCTGGCAAGGAGTAACTAACTGATACTTCTGGCTAAGAGCTGCCAAGTTCTTGCTGGACCTAGAGAATTTTGCTGGCAGTTCTGTTGGTTTCATTTTTCAGTTTAACCTCAAGGATGACCCAGTTCCTCTTGTGAGGGTTCTTGTGTTACTGGGGATGACCATGCTGCAAAACTGTCACACGTCAGAAATGTGGAATGGGGGCCCAAGGAGTTCAAATCAAAAGGAGATCTACTTTTCAAAGGGAAAAATGCACTTTTTCCTTCCTTCCTGCCACCCCCCGGAGACTTGCAAAAGAGGAGCCGACTGGTGTTAAGAGAGTTTTTGGTTCTTAGCAGTAATTCTGTTAAGTCAACAAATTACCAAAACGTTTCTTGTGCTGAAGCAGTAAATTCCTGCTTCTGATATCAATCTGCTGTGAAAGTGGAGTAAGGCAGAAATCAGCAGTGTAATCTTTCAAATGTCTGCTTGATAGATATAAAACATAAGAAGAATAGTTACACTGTGGGTAAGAAGCTGCTACAGATCCATTCGTCCATCAGAGTTTCAGGATCTCCGTTTAATTAAGATGAACTATTGTTAATTTAAAAAATTATTATTTTGTTTATTCATTTCATAAAATGTAGCAAAAATTGCACCTCCACAGAGTTTCTTCAGGAAACTGAGGCTTCTCTATAGAAGGTACAGTGAACGTGAGTCTTTCCTCAAATACAGGGATGTAAATGAGGGTTAACTTCACTGAAAGTAGTGGAATCTCACCTAAAATTCAGGACTTTAGATGGAAATAGAGCCAGTCATAGCTTTTGCATGCGGGGCTTTATCAATCAAATAGAGAACAGTCTTCAGAAGCTGCTTGAATATTTGCATCAGGGTGTTATATATATATAATTTTAAAGATGTGTACACATTACAGGAAGTTGAAAAACCTCAATTCATTGCTTTAGGCTCCTTGTTGTAGTATAGGGATAAGTTAGTTTTTTTTTTAATTATCAGAAAAATATAAAAAATAATCAATGTAAAAGGAGACTGTGGGTAGCCACATTTGAGTCAGTGCTTTGGTTACAGCCTGGCTAAGCCATCTGGACCTTCTGCACTCCCACATGAATTAAGTTTTGCTCTAAGTGCTGACTTCAAGATCTGCTTCAGCATTCACTTTCTGACACATTTTCCCTTGTCTTGAGCCAAATCCATCCAAATTCCCTGTTATTCCCAGGAATTCCCTGAGAGTTTGTGTGAATAAACTGGACTTGATTTTGGCCAAAGAAATTTCAGTCCCTTGTCCCTTCTCCTAGATTCAGCATCCATCTCCTTGTTAATTCACCCTAATTTGAGCAACCTCTGGGCTGTGTTCAGGCCAACTCTGCTTTTGTCTAAAATGTGGAGTTCTCACGGCTGGCTTTGAGACCGTCCCAGAGCTGTTTGATACCTAGAGCTCAGAAAACAAGCATGTCCTATTTTACCATGGTTTCTCTGATCCCTTAGTGTCCCTCAGCAGAATTTCCAAGATGCCAGCTAGAGGAGAGTGGGGGAAGGGAAAGGCACACACGTTGCAGGGAAAAAAGAAAATGCACCCCAGGAAACCAAGCATATAATCTGCTTGGGTTCACATCTGCCCCCAGGTTTAAGTGACAGACTGATTTTCTACTAGCTGCTCTTTCAGCCACTCTGTTTTTGCTGGATGCACAGTTTGTGTGCTGTGTACACACTTTCCTTGTCCTGTCTTTCCTGTGTTCATCAACCCTAATTGTGCTTTGGTATCTGTTACACTTTTAACCCCTGTCTTAACCCATTTTAATTACCTTATTACCTCTCTGTGATAAGAAAGTCTTACCTCAGTGACCTTTTTAATTTCCTCAGTACCTTTCTGTTTTTTCAACCCTTCACTAAGCATTTGCTAATTAGAATTTTTTTCAGCCTACTATTTTCTTTCCATTTGCAAAATCCTCTTGATTTTCTCTTTCTCACACTTTTTTTCAGATCATGTTGCAAGGCTGAAATAGTGTTCTGAACCACCACGTGGATGGGGGAGAGACATTTTAATGTGTTTTATTTTAATTTAACATCATTCCTCTTCTTATTTATCTACTGTCCAGTTTTCATTAACAATGCAAATTAAATTTGCCTGTTTTACTAAATTCTCTATCTCCATTTAATGAATTTTGAATCATGCTGTTTACTCATGTACCAATCTCATGTGGAATTCAAGCAATTATTAATGCAACTATCTGTTAAAAAAGCTGCAGGAAGCTGCAGGTATGGGATTATAGTCAAATTTAAGAACATCCCAGAACAAGAGAAAAGATGCTTTTTGTGACTCTCACAATGAGACCACATTCATTTTCACATCCATTACTGTCTTCCTCAGGCCAGCCCTAGTGCCTGTTGTCCTTTGTCTCCCACGTCACATATGAGGCAGTTTGCATGTTGATTTGTTCATTTCCCAGCACTGCCTGGTGACTGAAAGGCTATTAGACATCACTCTGTGATTTGTGTTATTTCTAATGTTCCTTTTTTTAGCTTAATGTTTGATAGCCCTTTCCCATCTGTTATTGCAGAATGCTGGACTCTGGACCTATGGACCAAATTTTCTCTCCTAGTGTACACTTTGGGTCTCTAACATTTGTCCTTCATCTGTTTCATCTTCTTAATGACTACTTCGATGTCAGTTTTGAGGAGATGTGATCACATTTCCTCACAATATATGACCTGTCCTAGAATTGCAAATTACCGAGTGAGGAACATGTTCCCTGAAGCTGCTGGCAGCTGTTCAGGTCTGGAATACCTTTCCATTTTTATTTAATTTTTCCATTTTGATCAAACAAATAAAATGAAGATTGGAACTTCTCAATCCTTAGGAAAGTCTGAAATATCTGACCTGCTGGGGTAATGCATTCAGTGACACTACTGGCTTGAGCAAGTGCTCATCATACAACAGTTTTCTGATCCAGATGAGTGATGAACACTTGCTGTACATCTTTCAGGACACAAAATGCCTGCTTTGGTTTAATTCTTGGTTGCCTTGAGCTGGCATATAAATAGGAGAATATTTGCCCAAGAGTTTGTAGCAGAGTTAGAATGACCCTGTGGTTGGAAAGTTGTTGACAATTTTTAGGAAATCATCACTTTACTGAGGCAGTAGTGAAACAGCAGGATTAATTATAATTTACCTGCAAAGAATCTGCTGTACCTTTTCATGCATGGTGGTTTTTGCTCTGTTCATCGCCCTAACCCACTCTGCTGGCAGGTCCCTCATGAGCACCCTGGGGTTAACACTGCTCCAAGATGAGGTAGGGCTCCCTTCAGCATCACCAGCATTCTCCTTGCTCAAGCATTTCAGAAATGTTTTTCCAGTCTGGCTGCAGACTCAAGGAGGAAGCACAGGTCTGGGTACCATTTCAGCCATTTATTTGCAGCTAGAATTAAAATGAGAAAAAACACAAGCAAGGAAGGAAAATCAGATTTTTAAGTGCAGCTCTAAGGACCCAGTCCACGTGTGTTTGATTTGGCAGCAAAGCCCTTCAAAGAGGAGCTCACCTTCTCCCACACCATCCCTCCCTCTGCCACGGTTTTCTACCTGTCAGTTCTGCTGATGCAGCTCTCTGTGGGAATCCTTTTTGGAGGGAAGAAATGTGTCTTCAACGTGTTACAGTCCCTAAAGTGCTTGCATTCAAATGGCAGAGGGTGTGAAATGCAGCACAGGGCTGGGTGTCAGAGGCTGAGAGGAGCCAGGAGCTGTCAAATCTGCAGGTCAGAGCCCTGCTGTGGGTCTGTGTAGTGAATCCAGCCCCGAATGCATGACTTCCCAAGGGCTGTTTGCCATCTCAGGGTGGAAGGAATGTTCCAGTGCAGGGGTTGCTGACAGTGCTGTGCTTCACTCTGGTGACAGGCACCGTGATGACACCGAACTACATCGACTCCAGCAGCCTCAGCGTGGCCCCGTGGTGCGACTGCAGCAACAGTGGCAACGACGAAGAGGAGTGCAAGAAATTTCTGAATTTCTTCCAGGACAACATATGCCTTAGTGAGTACAAAATTAGGTGCCTTCTAATGTGTTGCAGAGTGTTTTCTGGAATTCCTTTTCTGCTTACGACACATCGAGGCCATCACTTTGTTGAGCGTGGTTCTGTTGTAGGTGTAAAAATTAAAAGAATGAGCAAATATGCCTGATACTGTGGTTCATGGACGTGATTTCAAACATGAGAAGCTCTTGGAAAAACAAAAATAGAACCCAAAGTTGTATGATATTAAAATGTGTTTACAACACAGGTCATATTTGGAGCCTGACAGGCAGCATCTTTACCATGGAATTGCAACACCTGAGGGGTTTCTGTATAATTTAAGAACTTCATATAAAAAAGACATGTAGTTTAGGATATGAAGGATTTGCCATAAGTAAGTATAAATTGGATTGTGCTTGCAGTTTACAGCCAACTTCATTTTTTTTAGAATATTGGATCTCAGATGCCTGGTTTTAACACAAGCCTGGATAGTAACTATTGTAAAGATTTTGTTAAATTATTGATTTTTTTTTTTCCTGTCGGACTCACTTCCAAATTAGGGACTATTATAAATTTCAGAATGGCTTAGTGGAGTCGATTTTGGCAGGTTCTCTTTTCAAATTTCCTGTCTGCCTGAAGCAGCATAATTGGATGATGTGGAGTGTGCATCAGAGTTTTAATTTCAGATAAATGAGGAGACCAAAAGAGCTTGGCTTCCCTAGCCCAGCAGAACAGAAGTTGAAAGGATGCGTGATTGTCCTCTGAAATTGCATTAGCAGGGCAAGCCCAGGGAGGGGAAGGGATTTCTTCACCTGCAGGACAGTGTTGGCATAAGATCAAAAAGGAAGATACTGGCCATATATATTTAGGCTTAAAATGGGAAAATTTCTATCCATCAGACTAAAGTTAAGAAATAGGCTTCCAGCAGGAGTTTTGAGGGTAAAAGTGGTTTTTAAAGTCATATTTCATCAGCTTATGCAAAGAAGCAGACATCATTGCTTTTTCTCCAAAACAGTAAATGAACTCAGTGATCCAGACTGGCCCATCCAGCCCTACAGACTTGAGCTGATGCTAGGGCAGGGCTCAGTATTTTACTAGAGGGTCTGAAAATCCCCATTGGTAGCTTCTCAAGAGGCAGCATTGCTGTGAAGGCACGGGGAGGTCTGTGCACAAAAACCTGAATTGATCTGTGATATACTATTTATTAAGCTTTGGAAGAACAAATCAATTACTCAAGCTCATTTAACAAAAGAAAAAGAGAAAAGAGTTCAAACTTTAGGAGGGGTAAAATTTAACATATGCCATCAGACCTTCAAGCCTAATGGCAGTTGCCATTTATATCTATTGCAGTACCTCAGATTTTATTCATTTGTGAAATTATTACTTTATAGAGTGTTGCAGGTTCCTTTTGGAACATAAAGACAGAGTGATTCCTTGTCCTTTCTTTTGCCATCAGTACAAAAGCATTAATGAAGACAAATCAAAGACATTGGAGGTTACTGGGAGACAAATTATGTCATCCTAGCTGCAAGATAATGTCTTTCTCAGGAAGAAATTAAAGGTGTTTCTGGATTTTCTATGAAGTTTTGTCTTTCATATAGAATAGGAATTTTTAAAAATTTTCGTTTTCACTGGTGAGCCTTCCACTGCCTGGAGAAAATGTCATTAAAATCCTTCCCACTTTTTTTTTATACAACACAAAAACTTCTTTTCCCACGGTAGGAAGAAACTAGGAATTTCTAACTAGTCTGTTTTTGAGTATATTCCCCCTTCAAAATGGAAAAGAAACCTGTTATTTGGGGCATTTACAGCAATGACCTTGTTTAAGCTGCTCATTGCAGAGGGACTAGACCTTGAAAGGTTCCTTCAACCCAAACAATTTTGTGATTCTGTCATAGAATCATAGAATATGTCATGTTGGAAGGCACTCATAAGGATCATCAAATATGATTGTATGAAATAATTGAAGACTAATTGTTAAGGCTGCTTGTTACTTTGAAAACTGGAAGGATTGCAGGTATTTCTGTGGCCATTCTTGCAACAGTGCAAACAAAGAGTTACTGTGATTTTAGGAAATACTGCTTTTTATATTGACACAAGAAAACTTATCACATCCCTCTTCCTACTTTGTCTCCATTAATGCAGCTCATTCTGGTGCTTTTTACAAGTTCTTCTCTTTGCATCTTGAAGTTCTGAGAACTAATATCAGAGTAAAATACATCTTCTTCAGAAGGAAATTACATGTAAATTATTTTATAAGGCAAGGAATGGCACTGAGAAGAAGTATTAATAACTTCCACATATTAGTCCCCAGTGAAATTGTTTGATTTCTTGTACAAAGAATTTGAAATAAGAAATCCCCAAATCCTTGTTGAATCCCCAAAGACCTGATTAAGAACTGTTTTTCTATTTGTTTATAAAAAAACTCCAACCAATTTACTCTTGCTATAAACACACTCTTTAATCCTGTGAAACTGTGATAAGCTTTTTAACTTTTATATTCTAAAGTTTTAGTTTAACCATGTTTCCCTCAACCAATTATGCAGATTTTGATTGAAAATGGTAAGGAAAAGATTGCCTTAGTTAAACTATTTTGTAGTTATAGACATATTAGTTTTACTACAACAAGCTGTAGAAATAAATATTTATCCTGTTCTCTGTTTTCAGTTTGCTCTGTAACTTCACGTGCCTGAATTAGGACATGACATTCAAACTATATTTTTAATCTTGAAAGTAAATTTTTGAGTCTTTTGGATGGTAACAAATATGATTGTGGTAAGTCTTAAAGCTTCTGTCAATAATTACTGGAAACATTACAAAGAAGAGGCTGCACCAAATAATTATGTGACCCGAGATTTTCAGTTCATGTTTCTCATAGGTTCAAAAATAAGACACATCTTTCAGCATAAAATTGAGTTTCTACAAATACACATTTAAAATATAATAATAATAATAATAATAATAATAATAATAATGACAATAAAAACCAACTCAGTTCTGCTTTTTGCCTTTTTTTTTTTTTTTTTTTTAGAAATAGAAAATTGCCTGTAATTTATTTTCACAGAAAATGCAATTCAGGCCTTTGGCAATGGCACTGATGTGAATGTCTGGCAGCCAATCTTACCAGTACAGACCACTACAGCCACAACTACGACAGCTTCCAGACTTAGAAACACAGGGTCAGAGACCACCAACAATGAAATACCCTCCCACAATGATTCACCAGCATGTGCAAACCTGCAGGTAAGAGAGTTTTCTGCTTGTTGTTGTGCATAAATGAAAGTTTTTCATAGATACCTGTCGAGGAGTCTTGCACTGCCTAACTAGATGCCTGCCTGAACTGGAGTATCTGTTTATTCCCATGGTGTAGTTACAGGCTGCATATGTTGTGAGCTGTCAGACACTCTTATTTTAAATCAGGAACTTGCATATCTCAAAGTGGACTTTATTGCCTCGCTGTCTCAGAAACAGGGGATGGTATTTAATTTCTTATCGCAGGTTTGAATATGAATGTGGCACTCTCCAAATCCTGCCAGGGTATGTCAGATTAAATTAATCCCTTGAGTACTCCTAATTCAGAGGGAACCCTTAATGTGAGCTAGCATGTCTTGCTGCCTTCTTTCTTATGTTATTGGCATTAAACTCAAGAAGGTTTTTTGGCTGAGTAGATCTGGGTATTAGGGAACATATGGTGCTGCAAGCTACACATTGAAGAAGCTGGACAAAGATAAAACTTTTGAATTAGGCACTCTCCTGAACTGAAGTCGAGGTCATGATGTGATTTTGGCCAGTGGCTGTAGTGATTTTCTTTGACACTTAAATTAGGCTATTGATAGTGATCATTGATTCTGGGTTTAGAGGCTCACCACTTGCTGAAGACAGTTTTTGCAGCTCTTGGAAAGATTGAAGGACTTGGGCAGGAGAAGACAACAGAACCAAGGCAGGAAGAAGGTAGCAGGAAATGTAAAATGAAAACATCCTTAGGCCAGATTGGAATTGGGCTGTAAAAACTTCTGGTGGTTTAAATACAAAATTAGGTCAAGCAGGGATAGATCAGCTTGTCCTGTTTATTTTTGTCTTTACAGAAGGAAAATTGCTGTGTGACACAAATATACGTGTCCAAGCTTTAAGGTCTCAGCTGGTATTAAGATAATTTTTTCTGTATTTCTGGATTTCACTGTTAAAACATTGATTTTTCACTTCCTATTAAAAAAAATAACTTTGTTTTCTTAATATTGAATGGTTCCATGTCCACTGAACCAGAAATATTTTATTTCTGAGAAGTATGTTTTGCTTCTTAATTTTTTCTGCATTGCTCTCTCTCCTTCGTCCTTTTCCAATTCCTGCATCTATTTTGCATTGGAAAGTTGTATGTGTATCAACATGAGGGACACTACAGAGTCAAAAAGTAGAGGGGGTTAGTGATAGAGGGTGCTCAGTTTAGGTCCATTTGTTTTAATTCTGTTTTTCTCATCTGTGCATTCATTATTATTTAAGCTTTGTAAGTTATTGTTAAGAGAGACAGTTGGAGGCATATATTGCTATTTGCAATAGTCATTTAAACAAAGAGGATATGCTGAAAGAAACACAGCCTTTTAAACCTGAAACTTGGAATATCTTGCATTTAGAACAAGACCTTGATGGGATGTTATTGAGTCACTTCATGTTATATTAAAAAGTTGTGTTATGGGAGAGATCACATTTTCCTTCAGTGTTTGTGTAGCCCCCTGTAGAGTCAGGCCTCCAGATGCTACCAAGTACACATAATAAATAAAGAACTGAAGTAATGCCAAGTGATCACAAATCCCATTGGATTCACTTGAATTTGCAAATGTTTCTTAAGCCTGAATAGATGTTCTTGTTTTTGAAAATGACTTAAATTCTTCCCTCCTTCCTCCTGTTACTGTGGCATTTTGAAGTCACATCCCACATGAGTTTATCAGCTCTGGTTTAAAGCTGTGCTATGACTTCAAGGGTACCCCCTGATGTACTTGGCACAAGAAATAAAGGTTGGTGGGGAAAATAGGTTCCTTTAAATAAATGATCTCTGGTGTTTGGTAGAAACTGTAGATAAAGTCTGCACTAAAACATCACTGAAGTTATGTGAACCAAGTAGTTTTATTCCTGTGAAGCACAATATTCTATGCCTACCACTTCCTTCTGTCAGAACTGAAACACAAAGAACAAAGCTGTAATATTTTAATGCATTTTTCAAAAAGTAACTTATGAAACAAGCCCACAATTTTTTAAAAAAGAAACCTATGTTTTTTGGACAGTATGGTGCCACTTTGCATGTGAGACTTAAACCCTCATGCAAATTTTATAAAAGAACTGGTATTCATATTGCATTTGGAGAAGGGTATTCATTCCAAGCCTCTCCCATGAAAATATGCCTTTGTAGTGTTTTCAAAACATGAACTAGTGCAGCCAAAAGCTTTTTTATGTGCTTAGCAGCTGAGCTGAAAGGTTTCTAAAAGGCAATATAGCCTGAACGCTGTGAAAAGTCAAATTACAAGCATCAGTCTCAGCACAAAACGACAGTGGCAGAGGAGGGCTAAGGAAGTGGTCATTGAGATGCAACAGGGCTGCATATTCTAGTTAGTGGGTTTAAAAATGCAGCAAAGGAAGAAAGAGCAGGAAGTGATTGATTAGTATAAATTGCCATTGGAAGAGTTACAGCAAGGGAAGAAAGAGCAGGAAGTGATTGATTAGTATAATATGCCACAGAAATGAGCAAATACCAACCTCCGGGGCTGTAAAACACAGGGCACTAACCCAGTCTGCCAGGAGCACCACTGACTGAGCAATTCTTGATGCATTTCTTTCTGACTTGTTCAGAATGGTCATGTGAAGAGCAGGAGTGCACCCCTGGTTTTGTTGCTGTGCCCTGTTCTCCTGCACAGTCAGACCTGGGAATCAGAAAGGTGGTGAATGCCTGAAGAAAACATGAGATATTTTTTTGTTTACCTGTACTCAATATTTACTTCAAAAACCTGTTGAAGATTTGGAATTTAAAATAATACCTATTTTAGTGATGCTGCTTAGAAGATGTTCTTCATTTGAACTTATCATTGCTATAAGAATTTGCAATTTATCCTATTATGGGGTATTGTCTTATTGCAAATTGATACAGCAAAATCTTTATTTCTGATATCTGCTTACTTCATGTTTACATATGCATGGATTGTGTAAGACACTCTTTTTTTTTCTGTCCCTCAATTAAATCAGCATTCTATCTTTGCCAGGAAGATGCTTGATTTATTCAAGAATCCTCTAAGCTCTTTTTACGAACCTGACTTAGAACAGCATTTGCTAAACACAGTAAATAGTAGTTAGGTTTATATGAAATGCTAAATTTACGTATATTTGAAGTGCTTGACATCTTGCAGAGAATCCTCAGCACCATATAAAAATAACGTAAAGTATTGTGAACAAAAAGGAAGATGAATCCCAACAGCATGTTCCTTATACAGGCAGATTTTATTAAGTAATTGCCAACCCTATCATTTTTTCCGGTGGCTTCGCTCTCATGTTTTCTATTTAACTGACATATATGTTAATCCTTCATTTTCAGTCATAACTTGCATTCAGTATGCCAGTCAAAAAATGGTTCTGGTCTTCCAGTCTCATGTCCTACCCCTACTGCCTGAACCATCGTGTTGGATTATTTGAAAGGGACAAAAGAATGAGTTTGGATGTGTACTCACACCATGTATTCTTCAAAAAAAGGCTGCCTTTGCATTTAGGAGAGATGGATAGACCTGAAGGATGATAATGAAATGAGCCTCAAGTGATAGATTAGACCAGTTGTTCCTGGGTCATTGCAGACTTCCACACTGGGTTTTTTATAATATTTTAAAGGATGTTTTGCAAACGACAAAAATTGTAGGAGTCAAGATGGTTAAGGACATTTAAGTAAATGTATGCATCTAAGTCTTGCTAGCTAGCTCTATACTTTGTTTTCCCATATTTATTATGTCGTGGTCTTGCTTTGGTTGTTCAGCATTCAAAGAGGAATTAAGGTTTTTGTGCTTTTGAATAACATAGCAATGGACAGATATAATTGAGATACACGACCCTTTGGACAGAAGACAAGTCCAGTATGTAAATGTTGTTATGCTCTCAGCAGCAAAATTTAAAAAGTGTGAGATAGAAACTGAAAATATCAAACATTTTGTGGGGAACATTGGAAAAGAGAAATCGGGCTACTTAAATATATTAATTCTTTTTATTTGCATGTAAGATCAGTGAGTGTTTGTAGCAGATGTGGGTCATAATGCAAGCTACTTTCTCACAAATTCATGTAATACTTGTGATTAAAAAAATACTTAAAATGGTGAATCTTAGGACAAAAACAGGAGAGAGGGCTCACCTTACTCTGAGGAGAGCAGGACTTAAACGTGACTGAGACTGAAAATGACTCTGCTTTTGCCATGTAGATCTGTCTGTGCAGACCTTCAGCACTATGCAGGGAGCCGCTAATCTGGTGGCTTAAGTACGCTCTCTAACTGCTTAATGTTGCTTCCCAGGTGCTAAATATCATTGTTCAAAGCATTATGTAGATGTTTGGAGAGGGTTTAAAGCTCCTGTGCAGCATTCTGAGGGTCAGGACACAGCGGGTGTGGATCTCCACGGGCTGGCAATTGGGTGGTGGGTGAGCATAAGCAGGAAGCACAGCAGTGTGTAGGGGAGGGAATGGCACAACTGCGGAGATGGAGGAGCACTGGGGTAGAGACAAAGCTTGTTTTATCCCCTGAGCACCACACTTAACTCACCCATGCACCTGGCACCCTCACACAGCCCGTGAACTTTTTGTGGTATACAAGCACTGATTTTTCAAATGCCTTGCCTGCTCCATCCCTTGGGAAGGTTCTGCTTGGACCTCTTCCTCTGGGCATTCTAACTACACAGAAGGTTACAGTCTGGGGCAAAAGATGGGCAACAATAAGGAACTCCCAAAGCTGTGCCAGAACCAAAAGAAAGGGAAAAAAAAAAAAAAAGAAAAGACTTAATGTTTTCTATGAAAAGATTTAAATCTTCCTCCTGTATTTCCAGGATTAGCTGACATAATGGGGTCAGCCTGCTGGTAAGAGTGATTTAGAGAACACTTATTGGCAGCTTTTCTGCTAAAAAAGCAATGTCTTTAATTTGCTTTAGTGGCAAGTCCCTTGTACCTAAAGAAGTCTTGAGTGCTTTGTGTATACGGATTAAGATCTGACAGCCAGGGCTAACTTAAAGTTTCA